AGACCAAAATGCCCAAAATGCACTGAACAACAGTGAAAAAATTAACTATTTCAGACATTTTGAGAGAAATAGAGAGCAGAAGCAGAGACAGCAGTATTTGTTGAGATTAGCCATTTTTTTTTTCTTTTTGTGGTGTTTGGATGTGTTCCAGCTCATTTCTGTGCAGAAATCATTGCAGCAGTGTCTAACGTATGTTCTTTCATGCGAAACCTCAAAGTATGGTGCACCAGGTCCATTTGAGTACCAGGAAAAAAAAAAAAAACGCTTTGCATGCATTTTTTTTATGATGAAAAGGGTCTGGACAGCATCTGGAAATGGAGGACTTAAAAAATGTTTCCAAACGCAAACGCTTATAAAGCAGTTAGCCACATTTACAAGAGTTCGGCGTTTTAAAAGCTGATAAAATCTACTCCTGAACGCTAAGTTTGGTGCGTTCAAAAAATCGGCTGTAAAACTCAACTGCCTGTAAACGACAATGTGAACATGGACACATAGGAAGACATTAGGGAGAGCTCAGGGGCTGCTGGAAAAAAAAACGGCTTAACAGCTTCTGAATGTCAGTTTAGCAACTCCAGTGCACATGGAGCCTTAAAGTAATTCCAGCGCCCCCCCCCCCCCCAACTCCTCCTCTCTGCTCTATCCATAGTGAAACAACGATTTTGCTGGAGTTAGACTTTTGCATCTAAGCCCTTCCTATAGCACGTTTACATCGCAGTTGGTTCGTTTTGTTTTTAAAACGCTTGAACGCCTCAAAAAGAGAAACATTAACTGGGAAAGGTCAAGCTTTGGAAAGCTACCAGAAGGTGCATTAAAAATGTTCCCACAGGCCCACCATTCAATAGAAGAGGAAGGATTTCCCATGTCATGCGGCATTATCTATCATGAGATAAAATGCTCTCAGAGAACCATCGCTTAGAAGCTTCATGCTATTAGTTTAACACCAACCTGTCAGGAATAAAAACTTTCCAAACTGACTACTGCTTGTTCAGGAACAAAGTAGAACTATAGGCAAAACTTTTTTTTTATTTTGGATATAGCGAGGGAGGGTTATAAACCCCGTCAGATTATTTTTTTTTTTTTTCCCATCTGTGTTCCACTGGGGAGATTTCCCTTCGTTTCCTGCCCCATAGCCAAAATAGTGAGAGGAAATCACCGCAAATTAAGGGAATTCCTTGGGGACCCCCCAGGTCGCCAGAGCTAGTGTCCCCTTTGGAAGATTTCCCCTCTATTACTTTTTGTCTGGACAACCCAAAATGTGGGGTTTTCTTTACTTTCATTTTCTATGATAACGTTGAACAAAACAAATAAAGAGGGTGAATCTCCTGAGTGTAGGCAGAGACAGCAATACAAATCTAATAGGTGTTCTAATCCCTCTACCCCCCGCCTTTAGTAATACTTTGTAAGCATGTGTGTAGGTGTTCCCTAAATTTACATTCTAATCGACATAGCAACGTGTGACATCACCAATATGAGAGTAACAGGTTACAAAAGGTGCAACATGCCATGTGTCAGCCTTTATAATAAACACTGTCTATGGATTGCAAAAACAAAACAAAAATTAAAATCGTTCTTGCAAGAGAACTTCATACAGTCATGGCCGAAATTGTTGGCACCCTTGATATTTCTCCAGGAAATCATGTATTTCTCACGAAACGTATTGCATTAACACATGTTTTGCTATACACATGTTTATTCCCTTTGTGTGTATTGGGACAAAACAAAAAAAGGGAGGAAAGAAAGCAAATTCGACATAATGTCACACAAACCTCCAAAAATGGGCTGGACAAAAGTATTGGCACCCTTTCACAACTGCGGATAAATAAGAATGTTACAAGCATGTGATGCTCCTGTAAACTCACCTGGGGCAAGTAACAGGTGTGGGCAATATAGAAATCACACCTGAAAGCAGATAAAAAGGAGAGACGTTCACTTAACCTTTGCATTGTGTGTGTCTTCTGTGCCACACTAAGCATGGACAACAGAAAGAGGAGACGAGAACTGTCTGAGGACCTGAGAACCAAAATTGTGGCAAAATATCAACAATCTCAAGGTTACAAGTCCATCTCCAGAGAACTAGATTTGCCTTTGTCCACAGTGCGCAACATTATCAAGAAGTTTGCAACCCATGGCACTGTAGCTAATCTCCCTGGTCGTCGACGGATGAGGAAAATTGATGAAAGATTGCAACGCAGAATAGTCCGGATGGTGGATAAGCAGCCCCAAACATGTTCCAAAGACATTCAAGCTGTCCTGCAGGCTCAGGGAGCATCAGTGTCAGCGCGAACTATCCGTCGACATTTAAATGAAATGAAACGCTATGGCAGGAGACCCAGGAGGACCCCACTGCTGACACAGAGACATAAAAAAGCAAGACTACAGTTTGCCAAAATGTACTTGAGTAAGCCAAAAGCCTTCTGGGAAAACGTCTTGTGGACAGATGAGACCAAGATAGAGCTTTTCGGTAAAGCACATCATTCTACTGTTTACCGAAAACGGAATGAGGCCTACAAAGAACAAAACACAGTACCTACGGTAAAATATGGTGGAGGTTCAATGATGTTTTGGGGTTGTTTTGCTGCCTCTGGCACTGGGTGCCTTGACTGTGTGCAAGGCATCATGAAATCTGAGGATTACCAAAAGGATTTTGGGTCGCACTGTAGGGCCCAGTGTCAGAAAGCTGGGTTTGCGTCCAAGATCTGGGTCTTCCAGCAGGACAATGACCCCAAACATACGTCAAAAAGCACTCAGAAATGGATGGCAAAGAAGCGCTGGAGAGTTCTGAAGTGGCCAGCAATGAGCCCAGATCTAAATCCCATTGAACACCTGTGGAGAGATCTTAAAATTGCTGTTGGGAAAAGGTGTCCTTCCAATAAGAGAGACCTGGAGCTGTTTGCAAAGGAAGAGTGGTCCAAAATTCCGGGTGAGAGGTGTCAGAAGCTTATTGATGGTTATAGGAAGCGACTGATTTCAGTTATGTTTTCCAAAGGGTGTGCAACCAAATATTAAGTTAAGGGTGCCAATACTTTTGTCCAGCCCATTTTTGGGGTTTTGTGTGTGACATTATGTCATATTTGCTTTTCTGCCTCTGTTTTATATTTGTTCCAATACATACAAAGGGAATAAACATGTGTATAGCAAAACATGTGTTTAATGCAATACCTTTTTTGTGTGAAATACTTGATTTTCAGGAAAAATATCAAGGGTGCCAACAATTTCGGCCATGACTGTATGTATTACTTTGCTATGTTAAAGTGGAGCTAAATGCAATGATAGTTACCTTTTCTTCAACAGTCCAATGCAGGGGCGGACTGATAACTCATGGGGCCCCCGGGCAATAGGAGATCATGGGGCCCCTGTGTCCTTGCCCACACTCAAAGCACATCCAAAAAAAGCCTATAAAAAAAGGTAACCGGGCATTTCATGGGGCCCCCTATTGACCCCGTGCCCTCAGGCAGTGCCCGACTGCTCGAATAGTCAGTCCGCCCCTGGTCCAACACCTGCGAGTTCCCTCGCTGGACCCTTTCCCTTGGTTTTTTTTCTGGGTCCCAGTCTTTGGCCATTTTGATTGCCTGGCACATCGTGACACCATTCCTGGAAATGCACAGGAATGCTTACACACACAGACACTGTGCTGGAATGTAAACTGAGCTGTGTATGCACAGCTCAGTGTACATTCTACAGAAGACCGTGAGCAGGCAGGTAGGTTTATTTTATTGCAGAAGAGAAACAGCATGTCTCCTCTGCAATAAAAGGCTGCCTGCTCACAGTTTTCTAATATTAAAGTGTTACTAAACCCAGGACCCTGCATTCACTATATCCGGTCTCCCCGGACCCTGCATTCACTACACCCGGTCTCCCCGGACCCTGCATTCAGTACACCGCTCTCCCGGACCCTGCATTCACTATACCCGCTCTCCCCGGACCCCGCATTCACTATACCCGCTCTCCCCGGACCCCCATTCACTATATCCCGCTCTCCCCGGACCCCCCATTCACTATACCCGCTCTCCCCGGACCCCCCATTCACTATACCCGCTCTCCCCGGGACCGCCTTCACTATACCCGGTCTCCCCGGACCCGGCCTTCACTATACCCGTCTCCCGGACCCGGCCTTCACTATACCCGGTCTCCCCGGACCCGGCCTTCACTATACCCGGTCTCCCCGGACCCGGCCTTCACTATACCCGGTCTCCCCGGACCCGGCCTTCACTATATCCGGTCTCCCCGGACCCGGCCTTCACTATATCCGGTCTCCCCGGACCCGGCCTTCACTATATCCGGTCTCTCCCCGGACCCGGCCTTCACTATATCCGGTCTCCCCGGACCCGGCCTTCACTATATCCGGTCTCCCCGGACCCGGCCTTCACTATATCCGGTCTCCCCGGACCCGGCCTTCACTATATCCGGTCTCCCCGGACCCGGCCTTCACTATATCCGGTCTCCCGGACCGGCCTTCACTATATCCGGTCTCTCCCCGGACCCGGCCTTCACTATATCCGGTCTCCCCGGACCCGGCCTTCACTATATCCGGTCTCCCCGGACCCGGCCTTCACTATATCCGGTCTCCCCGGACCCGGCCTTCACTATATCCGGTCTCCCCGGACCCGGCCTTCACTATATCCGGTCTCCCCGGACCCGGCCTTCACTATATCCGGTCTCCCCGGACCCGGCCTTCACTATATCCGGTCTCCCCGGACCCGGCCTTCACTATATCCGGTCTCCCCGGACCCGGCCTTCACTATATCCGGTCTCCCCGGACCCGGCCTTCACTATATCCGGTCTCCCCGGACCCGGCCTTCACTATATCCGGTCTCCCCGGACCCGGCCTTCACTATATCCGGTCTCCCCGGACCCGGCCTTCATATCGGTATATCCGGTCTCCCCGGACCCGGCCTTCACTATATCCGGTCTCCCCGGACCCGGCCTTCACTATATCCGGTCTCCCGGACCCGGCCTTCACTATATCCGGTCTCCCCGGACCCGGCCTTCACTATATCCGGTCTCCCCGGACCCGGCCTTCACTATATCCGGTCTCCCCGGACCCGGCCTTCACTATATCCGGTCTCCCCGGACCCGGCCTTCACTATATCCGGTCTCCCCGGACCCGGCCTTCACTATATCCGGTCTCCCCGGACCCGGCCTTCACTATATCCGGTCTCCCCGGACCCGGCCTTCACTATATCCGGTCTCCCCGGACCCGGCCTTCACTATATCCGGTCTCCCCGGACCCGGCCTTCACTATATCCGGTCTCCCCGGACCCGGCCTTCACTATATCCGGTCTCCCCGGACCCGGCCTTCACTATACCGCTCTCCCCGGACCCGGCCTTCACTATACCCGCTCTCCCCGGACCCCACATTCACTACTATACCCCGCTCTCCCCGGACCCCGCATTCACTATACCCGCTCTCTCCAGACCCCGCATTCACTATACCCGCTCTCCCCGGACCCGGCCTTCACTATACCCGCTCTCCCCGGACCCCACATTCACTATACCCGCTCTCCCCGGACCCCGCATTCACTATACCCACTCTCCCCCGGGCCCTGCATTCAGTATACCCGCTCTCCCCAGACCCCGCATTCACTATACCCGCTCTCCCCGGACCCCACATTCACTATACCCGCTCTCCCCGGACCCCGCATTCACTATACCCGCTCTCTCCAGACCCCGCATTCACTATACCCGCTCTCCCGGACCCCGCATTCACTATACCGCTCTCCCCGGACCCCGCATTCACTATACCCACTCTCCCCGGACCCTGTATTCACTATACCCGGTCTCCCTGGACCCTGCATTCACTATATCCGGTCCCTGGACCCTGCATTCACTATATCCGGTCTCCCCGGACCCTGCATTCACTATATCTGATCTCCCCGGACCCTGCATTCACTATATCTGGTCTCCCACGGTACACAGAACATGGAAATGCAATTATTTCAGTAAATATAAACTGCTAAATACCTTTCCTCATTAGCATTTAGAGCAGGCTTGTTGCTTCTATCAGTGTCCAGCAGAGTACTAGTTAAAGCTTCAAGGAGGAGCTTTTATTCTCCCCTGATTGTCCTATGAGGCTGCATTGCATAACTTCTTACCCTTTGTCTGGACAGTGCTGAATTGGCCATGTGCCTATCACATGCACTCTTCCAAGCAAAAAAAAAAAACTAGCAATACACTCCAAACTGAGCATGTGCTGCTTGCCCCCAGATTCTGCTCTACCAGCAAATAGATTGGGGACAGTGGAAGAAGGGGAGGATCAATGAAGACAGGATCAAACATGCTTTTTACACAATGCAGAGGATTAGTGTATGGCCAGCCTTAGAGTGAGTTTTGTCTGATCCCTCCACTTAGGTCTCAGGTTACACTCAGCTCCCTGCTGTGCAGGGTATGACATCAGATCCCCCCCCCCTGCCTTCTGACAATCAGAAATGCTGTGTAAAATAGGCAAAATAAATGGCCGTAGAGAAGGCATGGCCGTAGAGAAGGCATGGCCGTAGAGAAGGCATGGCCGTAGAGAAGGCATGGCCGTAGAGAAGGCATGGCCGTAGAGAAGACATGGCTACAGATAAAAAAAAAAGTACAACTTATGTAGGAGGATTTGTTTCATCTGTGCATCACCTGAGGCCAGTCAGTTCAGTTGGTATATGTAAGGGTTTACAAGCACTTTTAGTAGTGTTGTTACCAACTGAAAAGGCCCATAGTGGAAATGTAACCTTCATTTGAATGGGCTGCTGTACCTGTGAAAAACACAGGATGCAGTTTTGCGCACATGCAAACACACTGCGTTTCAGATGCTTTGGGGTGCCATTAAGAACTACTGTCACCCGTATGCATCTGCTCAAGAGCAGCACGGGGATGCAATTTTTTGGCTGCAGGCGCAGGATTGCTTGCAATTTGCGCTCACTCCTGCACCCGCAAATGTGGGAACATAGAGTTAAACCACTTTCTTGCCTGTAGGGTCTACATTGATATATCTTCCTCGTGTAAATTTTATCACTATGAAAAAGGTACTTGCACTGCAGGTTACAAACCCACACCCTGCATTCTGGAATCCATGCATTTTTTAACTGAATGTTATACATCGCAGATAAACAACAAACTTCACAGCTCTCATTTTCAGCCCGCCGCCGCATCCAGAAACGCACAACAGTCACGAATATAACAAGTCATTTGCACAGAATACCTAATCCCTGAATGATAGCGGACACCCTCCTCCCGCTGTCACAGGTTTGCCAGCTAATCCGGCTATAAACTAGACAATTTTCATCTCCTAAATTCATGCGTTTGGAACGTTAGAAGGAGAATGTTATCCTCACACCTCCTAATACACACCGCAGGCAGACTAATTCCCATCTCCAGATCAGAAATTGTTTATGGCAAACCAGTCGCGATAAAATAAAGCTCTTTATTGTACCTACAATGGCTGGCCCATTTAGTGAGCGTATGGTGAGCAGAGGTCAGGAACGCCCCCCCACTGGTGTTCTACTTGGCAGCCAATGGGGGGATGAAAGGAGACTGATTGCTCGGTGCCAGCCCACCTGGCTTTATACAGACCTGAATGGCAGCCGCAGTGACTCACACAATCAAAGATCTATTAACAATAAAGGGCGCGTTTTATACTCCGGTTCCTTCCCCAACCTTTTATTTGTGTCTTTGTCAAAAAATTAGTGGAGCCTAACACGTCTTGCGAGGTTTCCAATTTCCACCATAATCGCCACAGCTCAGCAGAAGCAGCGAAAGTCGTACAAATACACTTTTTCCTTGTACACGGTAAGGCTCCATGTACACGGGACACTTCTGAATGATGGAAACTGACTGCTGGAAAACGCAGGTTAAAAAACGTCTGTTTAGCTGTGTTTATGAGCGTTTGCATTTAGTAGCGTTTTTTGAAAGATAACCTCAGCAGACCTTCCAAAATGTCCAAAATGCACTGAAAACAGTAAAAACGCACAGTGGCTAAATGGTTAGCACTTCCGCCTGGCAGTACTAGGTTCATTGGTTCGAATCCCAGCGACGGCACCACCTGCCTGGAGTTTGCATGTTCTCCCTGTGCCTGTGTGGTTTTCTCCGGTTTCCTCCCACACTCCAAAGACATGCTGGTAGGTTAACTGGTTCCTGTCTAAATTGACCCTAATATGTATGCGAGTTAGGGAGCTTAGATTGTACACCCCTTGAGGGTTAGGGACTGATGTGAATGTACAATATTTATGTAGAGCGCTGCGTAAATTGACGGCGCTATATAAGTACCTGAAATAAAAATAACTATGTCAGACACTTTGAGAGAAATAGAGAGAGCAGAAGCAGAGAGAGAGCAGTATCTGTTGAGATTAGCTGTCTTTTTTTTTTTTTTTTTTTTTTTTTGTGGTGTTTGGATGTGTTCCAGCTCATTTCTGTGCAGAAATCATTCAGCTGTGCAGCGCGTAACATATTTTCTTCAAAGTATGGTGTACCGGGTCCATCTGAGTACCGGGAAAACGCTTTGCATGCATTTTTCATGATGAAAAAAGGCTCTGGACAGCATCTGGATATGGAAGAGTTAAAAAAAACTTACAAACGCCTATAAACGCGGTTTAACCATGTTTGCACTTTGCATGCATTTTTTCACAATGAAAAAAAGGCTCTGGAGCATTTTGCATTTGAAACGCTGATAACATCTACTGCTGAACGCAAGTTTTCTGCGTTCAAAAAAAAAAAAATGTAAACGATGTGTACATGTGTACATGGACACATAGGAAAAAACTTAGGGAGAGATTTCAGGGCTTATAAAAAACGCGTTTTGCATTTGCATTTTTCACGATGAAAAAAAGGCTCTGGACAGCACGCTGGAAATGGAAGAGTTAAAAAAAAAAATGTTCAAAACGAAAAAACGACCTATAAATGCAGTTAGCCGTTGTTTACAAGCGTTTTGTGTTTGAAACGCTGATAACATCTACTGCTGAACGCAAGTTTTCTGCGTTCAAAAAAACAACTGTAAACTCAACTGGTTGTAAACGACAATGTGTATATGGACACATAGGAAAACATTAGCGAGAGTTCAGGGGCTGCTGAAAAAAAAAATGCCGAACAGCTCCTAAAGGTGAGTTTATCAGCTGCAGTGTACATGAGCCCTTAGACAGCCCATCTCAGCCAGGGTCCCTCGGGATATGGCTGACTGATCCTCCTATCTGATGATGCCTTCATAGATCTGGATTCAATGCCTCTTGACAAAGCCAGCTGCATGACACCGATAAATGCTCTGCAGTATGTAAGGGGTCAGTCTGACCACTACTGTACAGGGAGCATTCTTCATTCTTTAACCCTTCGTCTTACAGACCTGACAGCAGGGGATTTTACACACACACCTCTTGGATGTAGCCCCCAGGATTACATGTAAATCTGAGAAGCAAAGATCTGGCTGTCAGATTATTATTATACAGGATTTATATAGCGCCAACAGTTTGCGCATCGTTTTACAATATAAGGGAGACAGTACAATTACAATACATTTCAGTACAGAAGGAATAGGGGGTCCTGTTTGTGGAGCTTACAATCTAAAATAAGGGGGAGGTGATACAAAAGGTGATAGCTGCGGGGGATGATCTGGTGGAGGTGATTCAAGTACAGTTCTTAGGTGGAGGTGATTCAAGTACAGTTTTTAGGTGGAGGTGGGGGTAGGCTTCCCTGAAGAAGTGAGTTTTCAAAGATCGCCTAAAGGCAGACAGGGTGGGGGCTGACCGGACAAACTGTGGTAGGGAGTTCCAGAGGATGGGAGAGGCTCTGGAGAAGTCCTGGAGGCGAGCATGGGAGGAGGTGATGAGGGAGTTAGAGAGGAGGATATCATGGGAGAGCGGAGTGGGCGTGGGTGGTATCTGTGGATGAGGTTGGTGATGTAGCTAGGGGCAGTGTTGTGGATGGCTTTGTAAGCTGTGGTTAGTATTTTGAATTTTTTACGTTGGGTTAGTGGAAGCCAGTGGAGGGATTGGCAGAGAGGGGCATCAGAAAGCAGATGAAAGCAGTCCAAAGACATTGCTTTCATACCCCACCCGAGTAATAGATCTATGCACTGTAAAAAGATCACTAGAGCAGGACTTGACAAATTTGCTTTGAATCTAGGAGCCAGCAAAAAAAAATGTTAAAAGCCAGTTTTTTGAACGAAGGAATGAAAATGAAAAGGAAATAAAGACACCAGGACATCAAATCGATTCGAGGACTTTAAAATTTTCTCTCCTCTCAGCACTGACAGGACGGGCTAGACGGATTCTGATTAGTCAGCGCCTGTCCATGCGACGGAGCTGAGTGCTGACCAATTAGAATGCCTCTTTTCTGTATGCCGAGAAGAAGATTTTCTGTATGCTGAGTAGGAGATTAAGTCACGGAAATTTCAAATCTCTGGATCAGTGACAGCGGATGACAGTCTAAAGCCCAGGCACCAGGATGCAATTAATAGTTGTCACGGTGACCTGGTGACTAGGATTTGTCGAGCCCTGACCTAGACTGCATTTCTTTTCTAAACATAACTGGAGAGTTGCACTTTAAACATTTTACTTCATCCTTTACAAAAGAGATTATACTGTTACTACAGGGCTTGACAAATCCTAGGAGCCAGGTCACCAGGGCTTTTAGAAATTGTGTCCTGGCGCCTGGTCTGTTGTCAGAAGTCCACTATCTGGCACCAAGACACCGCTTTACTAATCCAAGGATTTGAAATCCCTGCATCCTAATCTATCCACACGTCTCAGCATACAGACGAGAAGCATTATAATTGGTCAGCACCATCACATGGCCAATCAGAATCAGTCTAGCCCGACCTGGCGGAGAGAAAGATGACGAACCGGTGAAGCAGCATCCTAGTGCCTTACAGTGGGGGATCGCGGGACACTGGTACTGTGGGTCCCGGGGGGAGGGGTTAATGG